CCCCAAAACCCCAAAACCCCAAAACCCCTTGGTTTAGATAAGATGTTGAATTGGTACGTTAATATGCTGATGATAATTATTTCTTATTTAATTAAGAGTAAATTGATTGAATAGTAAAAAAACAAATGGAACCTCAAAAAGCTTAAAGACTATCATAGTTAAATTTTGCTGATATGCTAAAAGCTTCAACAGGATAATCAGCGTTATGTAACACTTAATCCATGAAGATATTCGAGACAGCAAAAGTTTATCATTTTAATAAAAAACCTAAGCGAGACTAATTAATATTATCCCCCAAAAAGTAGCAAACAAAAGCCTAAGTTATTCAAAAAGATAAGATCAAAACATTTATGCAAAGAGGATTAATTCATAAGAATTTTAATCAATAGAGTTTACCTTATAAAACAGAGGAATTATAGACAATGGAGAACTTATCTTATGATTAGTCCATCAATATGCAGGGGAAAAAACTTAATCTACAGTTCACAAAACCAGATACACAAATGATCGCTCCTTGGATAAATCAAGATGTTAATTTCAATACATTTGTTGAGTTAAATGCTCATGATCCTATTTAAAGCTCATTTATAAACGACAAGACTCGAATTGCTTCACTTGTCGACACATACAAACAGATGAGAGGAAGTAAAATAAGGAATCCAAGTAAGTCTATTTATAAATACCTAAAGTCAGATAAATCAAGCATAAATGAATCTATGACTAAAGATAACAGCCAAGTTTTTATTTACATTAAGCAAAATGGTACCTAAACAACTAAGTCAGCAACTTTTAAAAATCCATTTAAATAGTCAACCATTTCCAAGCCTGACATATAAAATATTAGTGATTAGCTAAATGACTCCAGCTTGGATGCGAAAGAAGAAACTCAAAGAGCTATCCAATAATTTAACTTCTCAAGTGGGAAAATACCATAAGATTAAAGTGATTCTTAAAATTCAAAGCCATTGAATTTATACGAAAAAGTACTTGAAGTTCCTACTCAAAACTTAATGTATAAGCAGATCCCAGTTTAGGCTGATCCTTTTAAATCAGCTCTTACTTACTTTCATTGAGCAGCATCGCAGGAAAACTTATTTTTAAAAAAGATTTTCACATCAAATGCAGAATTATACAACTAAAGATAGAATTAGTATTCGTACTACTACTAAAATTATGTCAAAAATAAGCATAAAAAAACCATAAATTTCCAGAATTAGAAGTAATAATCTACTATATAATAGCACTAGCTCCCAAATATATCTGGTAATAATAAATTACCATAGGAATCTGTTTCAGAGGAAGGAACTCTATTTAACTTTAAAAAGAAAAGTTCAAAAATTTAGTTGAAATAAATCATTGAGACCTAATAAACTTAAAAAGTGGAAAACTCTATTGACTTAAAAAAGAAAAAGATTTCTCCATTTATACAAGATGCCAAATACTTTAGTGATTAAAATTTCTATCATTATCAGCCATAGAGCAATTAATCTCCTCATAGTAGAAATTAGCATAAATCTTTATTAATGGATTAAAAATAGCTTAGATCAGTACTTCTAAACCATTTGAAATCTTAGCATATTCCAAGAGGTAGCTATCTTAATGTTTAAATATCCAAAGAAGATTAAACTAAATATAATACTTTCAACTTTGAAAATATTTCTAAATCGTAACTTGCAGATTAAGGAGTAGATATGAAAGGGATTAAATCCTTTGGTAATATCTCTGTTCCATAGTTAAGTAGATAGCTCTCTCCTCTATCACACCAAACATAATTGAATCCTAAAAACCAATAAAATGATTTTAATGAAAACATAATCGACTAAAAATTCAAATTTAAAACTGTTAAGACAACTTAACCTAAGATTTTCATTGCATCTTCTCCTATTTTGCCCAAGTCTAAAACTATCAAAGATAAAATAGATGATGAAAGATAAGAATTTTATGCTTATCTTAAGAGGAAATGGAAATCAAAGCATGATATTCATAAGATAATTGAATTTAAGCATGTGGGTTTCTAAAAGATGTCAGCTATTGGTTCAGCTATTGATTAAAAATATAAGAAAAAGTGATTTTATCTCAATTTTAGTATTATTTGATTATTTAACATAGCAAATTATAATAGGCTTTAAATCATCCAACGGGGTTTTGGGGTTTTGGGG